GCCGGCCTCCCCCCGTGGAGCTTATCGCCGAAGAGCGATGCACCCTCTATTGGAGGGTGCAGGAGCTCCGCGGGGAGATGGAGGTGGTGTTGGCTAGGGACCTGGCGGCCCTGAAGTTTCAGGCCAGAGCCCGGGTAATGGTACGGTGGGAGGACATGCTGGCCGACCCCGCGGACCCGGGCTTCGAACGGCCGAAGCCGTCCGCCGCTGTCTCGCCGAAATGGCGAGCAGGAGGGGACGCGGACTTACGTACTGTCTGGTGCAGTTGTTAACCGGCCATGGGTGTTTTGGCCGGTTCCTGCACCGGATCCAAAAGGAATCCACCGCTCGATGCCACCATTGCCCGAAGCTGAAGGTCAGGGTGGAACATACGCTGGCCTCATGCGAAGCATGGAACCAGCAGCGCCATGTCGTCGCTCGGGCAGTGGGCTGCGCCGGGGAAGACCTCTAGCTCCTGCGCCTGGTAAACGCCATGTGCAGGAGCGAGGAGATCTGGTCGGCGGCGGCCTCCTTCACGGAGGACGTCATGTCCCGCAAGAAGGCCGCCGAATGGAGGCGCTGTCCTAGCATCCGTCGCAAGGAGCGATAGAGAGGGCGGCGCTTCCCCAGTCTGGATAGTGGGCCCGAGGTGGCGCTGGTCGAGGAGCCGCCTCGACCGCCTCGGGCCCGCCTCCGTCCGCAGAGGGGGGAGGGGCCACAGGCCTAGGCCTGTAAGGGAGGAAGAGGGGAGTAGGTGTCTCGGTTGGGGACGGGCCCCATCCCCGCCTCCTCCTCGACTAACGAGGGGGGCTAGGAGAGAGGGGTGGGTGTCCCCTGTCTCCTCCAATCGGGCTAGGAGGCCAACCCGATCGGGTAACCGGTCGGGGCACCGCGCCCCCCCTGAAGGGGGAGGAGCGCGGCACTCGGGCGAGAGGCTCGCGGAGAACCCCAGGGCCGGGGTGTCGGGGAGGGAATGCTGACGCAGTGCTCCCGACTCCCCCCTCTCCAGCCCGCCTAACAAGCACCCCGGGAGGGTTTAAGCCGGTAAGAATCCGACATAACCCCACCCATTTCCCCAAGAAGGGAGGGCTATCCATAAGGACTTCCCTCCCGTAAACAAAAAAAGAGCAAGTGTTTTGGAAATCCCTCGAGATAAGATACAAGAATATGTAATGAAAAATAGGGGGTTCCATTTAAGAAATTTAAAATGATCTTTACGTGATCTTGACAACGCTATTTAAGGTCATAATAATATTACCATATAATGCGCTTTATAAAACTGTAGTAACTTTGTATCAAACATTTTTTTCTAAAATGTGTATTTTCCGAGATATTAAGAGGTTTCGATACTTTACGTACATTCTGTATATGTTGCTTGTAACGTATACATTATACGTATTACGTGTTACATTTCGTTACATTATGACAATGTAACTGTATTTAATGGGTGCAATATAACTACACATGCATGAGATTGAATTTAATTAAATATTTAACCCGTTGAATGTTATGGACGCATATATGCATATATTCAGCGGAAGCTATCAGTATGGACTATGGGCACATATACAGGGTGTCCCAAAAATAACGGACCACCCTCATAACTCCTCAGTATTGAAGTTTTAAGAAAAATGAAGAAAAGTTGTAGGGGTTTAAATAAGCTACCTTATAATAACCTTAACTTTGACCTTGACCTCTATTTTCAAGGTCATTTAAAGGTCAACTTGCGTTTTTTAAACGGGAACCCTTATTTTCTATTACACTGTCTTTTTCTACTAGTTAATTTGAACAACTTTTGTCTAAAACATTTTTTTGTCTGATATTTTTGAGATATTTGAGGAAATCTTGATAACTTTTTCAATATTTAACTTACGATATCTCGCTAACTATTTGTCGGAAGAAAAAGTGGTACTAGACTTTCTTGCTTTATTTAGTCTTAAGAATATATTGTTATACTAGCGCCCTGATTTTTGTTAATTTGATGATTTTGAAATTTTCAAAAGTCAGTAAGTACAAGTTCATATTTATAGCATATTAAAAATAATCAAAATAACGTGATCTCACGGACTCGGATTCGCCACACATCAAATCGGCCCGACAACTCATTCTTTTGTCATCCTTTGTTTATTCATTTCCATAGAAAATGTATTCATAGAAAACATCTGACCAATACAATTATCTACACTAATCAATACTAATTGATATCAATCCAAAGGAGCAGTCACTACAGTATTGTATTGGCTGTACAATATACAGGGTGGGGGGTTATAAGTTTACAACCCGAAGTGTGAAGGTAGATTGGGTTAAGACAAACATAAAAGTCTCATACCGTTTTGCGAGATTCGCAATTATCGAGTTATTGATGACAGAAATCTGAGGAATGGGAGCGCGCCGACATAGATGATTGGAGAAGCGTTGCAGCTATTTAGGCCACAGCGCGGCCCAGCCGATCCAGCAACTGTTGCCGGTGCGTGCCGAGGGGAAAGATAATGCGCCGCTATTCGTTATTTTATCTCGCCGGATCTACGTCTTGCCGCACGCCGCGTTCACACTTCGGGTTGTAAACTTATAACACCCCACCCTGTATACAGAGTATCCCAGATCAGACTCGTACCAGCTGAATATCTTGAAAATCGAGCGCAGCATACAAATGTTTTACCAAATGCATCAAATGGCGATGTCCATTTGATCTTGGGAGCAGTTATGAAGATCTCAAAATCAGCTTCAAAACCTCAAATAGAAACTCTAATTTTTTATTATATCATTTTTTTCTACCAATTAATTTGAATAAGTTTCATCTAAAACATTTTTTTATTTTTCTAAATCTTTTTAGAAGAAATTTAAGGAAAATTTAGTAACTTTTTCTACATTTAGCTTACAATATCTTGACAACCATTTGTCAGAAGAAAAAGTAGTACTAGACTTTTTTTACTCTATGTAGTTTCAAGAATATGCTGTTACAATAGTGCCCTATCTTTCGTTAACTTGATCTTTGAAAATTTCAAAATCAAATTAAAAGTTAGGGTACTATTGTAACAATATATTCTTAAGACCAAATAAAATAAAAAAGTCTGTAGTACCATTTTCTCTTTCAACAAATAATTACCGAAATATTGTAAGCTAAATATTGAAAAAGTTATCAATTAATATTAAATATCTCAAAAGTATTAGACGAGTAAAAAAATGTTCCTGACAAAAGTTTAAATTATCTGATAGAAAAAGATGATATAATAAAAAATAGGGATTTCTATTAAAAAAATTCAAGGTGACCTTCCCCTAGCCTTGACGCTGTTTAAAGTCATACTATCAGGTTAGCAACAAAGTCATGTCGCTTTTCGTGTCGTAGATGGCTTTATTTGTCATTAAACGCAATTAACTTCACTTCAAATCCTATAACCTTTACATCATTTGACAGCTGACTTTAAAAAAAAAGCTTTCTTTAAAAAAAAAAAATGCATCATTTGGTAGAATTGTTTGGCATTGAGTTAAAAATGAAAGATCAAAACGAGCATTCCGCCATATTTTATTTTTTTACTTCCAAAATTAAAAGAACGCAAGCCCGTCAAAAGTTATCTGCTATACAGGGTGCACGATTCATCTGAAGACATTGAAATATCTCGAGAACTATGCATTGGATAAAAAAAAGTGGTTAATGAAAGTTGTTAGTCTCGAAGGGGGACATCCAATGATACCAAACTCGATCTCCCACCCCATCCCCTGGGGGTGGGGGTTGGGGGCAACTTTGAAATCTTAAATGGAAACCCCCATTTTTTATTGCGGATACGGATTCTACGCCATAAAATGAGTAAATTTTGTCCGAAACTTTTTTTTTGATTCGTGATAGATGGCGCTGTAATCGCAAAAAATTATATTTTCTGCAATTCTCCAGAAATGATCATTGGATTGAGAAATAAAAAATACCTGTTCAATATTTTTAAAGAACACAATAAAAGTTATTCCCCCCCCCATCCTCTCGGGGTAGGGTGGGTGGTAACGTTCAAATCTCAAATGGGAACTCGAATCGAAGAGGGAACTGCTCGACGCGCCACTGTGGGTGTATGGCGAACTACGACTTATTATAAAAGGCAGAGATGGATTGGCAGAGGTGGCCCGATTAATTGGCCTGCCTGGCCAAAGGTCGCCTGATTTGATATCGCCGGATTTCTTTCTGTGGGGTTACCTAAAAGATAAGGTTTATCAACAAGTGCCAACAACTCGTAAAAACATGGTAGAATGCATAAGAAACGCTTACGCTGAAACTCCCGCAGATATGCTTCTATCCTGTGTACAGTCTTTTGAAAAAAGGATCAATAAGTGTATTGAAGTTGAAGGTAAAAATTTCGAACACTTACTCTAATTAATTGAACAGTGAGAGGCAAGGGAACTCATATTAAAAAAGCACCCCGATCTGTCAGAAGCAAGGGGACTCACATTAAAAAAGCACCCAAAGGGAACATAAAATTACTACGTCCTCGTCGTTGTTCCTGTGTAACGCTAAAAGTAGTTTCTCGGAAAAATTCAACGCTATCTATCACGAATGAAAAAAATTGTTTCAATAAAAATTTCACGTACAATCTAATTCTGCAATGAAAAATGTGGGTCCCCATTTGAGATTTGAACGTTATCACTTACCCTACCCCGAGAGGATGGGGGAGGGAATAACTTTTATTATGTTCTTTAAAAATATTGAACAGGTATTTTTTATTTCTCAATCCAATGATCATTTCTGGAGAATTGCGGAAAATATAATTTTTTGCGATTACAGCGCCATCTATCACGAATCAAAAAAAAAGTTTCGGACAAAATTTACGTGTTTTGTGGCGTAAAATCCGTATCTGCAATAAAAAATGGGGGTTTCCATTTAAGATTTCAAAGTTACCCCCAACCCCCACCCCCAGGGGATGGGGTGGGAGGTCGAGTTTGGTATCATTGGATGTTTCCCTTCGAGACTAACAACTTTCATTAACCACTTTTTTTTATCCAATGCATAGTTCTCGAGATATTTCAATGTCTTCAGATAAATTGTGCACCTTGTATATGGTGAGGAATCCTTAACAGAACGCCAATATTAGCGTTAGTTTGCTCGTTTTCGTTCAGAAGATTTTTGTCTAGGAAAAATACACTACAGTCAGGCCAGCCAATTAAGACGATCGATGACGATAAAATAAAAGCATTGCTCGAATCCAACCGCCATTATACGATACAGGAAATCGCTGAAAAGCTAAACATATCACATATGAGCATTGAAAACCATTTAAACTTGGATACGTCAGCAAACTCGATATCTGAGTTCCACACAAGCTCAAAGAAATTCATCTCATCAATATCAATAATTCTCTCCTAAAACGTGAGCAAAACAATCTGTTTTTGAAACGAATATTAATTGGCGATGAAAAATGATTTGTTTACAACAATGTACGAGAAAGATCGTGGAACAAACATGATGAGCCGCCACAAAACTTCTAAAGCAGACATTCACCAAAGAAAGATTTTATTATTTGTTTGGTGAAATTACAATTATTGTGATATGATTATTGTGGATATTGTGTTTTTTTGAACTGCTTAAAAGTAATCAAATGATTCAGAATTGTACTATCGTCAATTGGACAAATTACACGAAGCAATCAAGCAGAAGCGCTCAAAACTGATGAATCATAAAGATGTTGTTTTTCACCATGACACACTAGACTACATACATTGTTAGTCATCTGCCAGAAATTATTGCAGTTTGGATGGGATGTGTTACCATATCCACCATATTCATCTGATCTTGCATTATCAGATTACCATTGATTTCATTCCTTGCAAAATTCCTTGTAGGGAAAAAATTCAATTCTGATAAGGTCATCAAGCAGAACTTGGATCAGTTTTTCACCAATAAAATTCTCTTCTGGAATCATGAAGCTACCAAACAGGTGGCAAAAGGTTATTGAATTAAGCGGACAAAATATTACAGAATAAAATGTTTGTTTTGTATGAAAAAATCGCTTTTCATTTACATAGAAAAAACGACATTTTGCCAGTCTGATAGTATTGTTATGTAATGGGTAGCTTAAAACTCTACAATTTCTGTATTTAGTATTCTTTTCTATCTTGCATATTTTCAAAATTATTCGGAAGATCTGATCTTGTTTCCTCACTCTGTATAAATACAAAAGTATCGGATTAATTTGCACAATAATATCATATAATTACAATAAAAATAACTTACATTAGCATCGTTCTTAATTTAATAAAATCGCAATGATCAGGATTTTCAACTTCAACAACACCCCACGGATACAATCGACCCCGTACTCTCTTTCCTTTGACTTCAAGCAAGGTATTGGCACCACATACTGCAAATGGGACAGCCTCTTTTAATTGACGTACTTGTTCTTTGTAATCTTCATCTTCATCACTATCACAGTCTGGTAAAGGATATATTTTGATTCCATTGCCTTCAATCTCTTCCATAACTCTTTTTTTTAAACGTAATACTTCTTTTTTGGTAAGTACATCAGCTTTCGCTATTACAGGTACTATGTTAACTTTGTTATGAAGTTGCTTCATAAATTCAATATCTAATGGTTTTAACCTGTTATCAATGAAAAAAGAAAAAACTGTATTATTAAATATAAAATATAAAATATATAAATTAAATAAGTTTGTTAAAAAATAGATTTTATCTAAGATGTTTTAAGTTTCTAAACCTTAATAATAACCTAATCATAAACAATTAATTTAATTATATGCGATAATAAATTATGTGTGATCGTACCCATGACCAAATGGAGAGATAAAATAAAAACAACAATGTATTCTGTTGTCCACAATATTTCTTCTGTTTAAACCACTTTCATCACGAAGGAACCTCTCAAACTGATCATCTATATATTGAATGATAGCTCTGAAACTATCTGTATTATCAATTGCATCTCCATAACCAGGTGTATCAACAACTGTTAATCTAAGTTTAACGCCTCTTTCTTCAATTTCAACCGTTGAAGCGTCGAGTTTAACAGTTTGATTTGTTTTTTCTATTTAATAAATACAACAAACATATAATAAGTAATATATATAATAAATAATAATATACAAAATATAACTACAATATAAATATATAAAATATAAAAATATATAGTATACAAAATAATAATATATAATATATAAAATATACAGGACGTCCCATGGGAAATTGCTATTTTCTATTTCGTAAGTACAACAAATGAACATATAAGTGAATATATATAATAAATAATAATATACAAAATATAACTATATTACAAATATATAAAATATAAACATATGTAGTATACAAAATAATAATATATAATAGCAGGTTGTCTAAAAAGTATTGAGCCTTTTGCGCACGAGATAACGTTAGTGTCCCAAATCTCAAGGTATATGAGTCGCAGCAGGTCAGGCCTAACGTCATTTGACAGCTGACAGTTGAAGCTAGTAGATGTACAAAAAGTGTTGGAATTCTTATAATCAGACATAAGGTATTGCGCCGTGGAGATGAATGAACTTTCCGCAAAACTGCGCTACATTTTACAATTTTATTTCGATAAAGGCGCAAATACTGCGCAGGCCCATGAAGAAATTTGTGCTGTTTATGCAAGATATGTTATCAAAAGCAACAGCCAAAATATGGTTCAGTCGCTTTCGTTCTGGAAATTTCGATGTCTAAGATGCTCCTCGCAGTGGGCGACCACAGAAAAAGTGGATGATATTCTGGCAAAAGTCGAGCAAGACTGGCATGTAAGCAGTCATAACATCACCAATGACCTAAACATCCATCACCAAACAGTGTTAAACCATTTGGAGAAAATTGGCTACAAAAAGAAGCTCGATATTTGGGTGCCACATGATCTGACTAAAAAAAATTTACTCGATTGAATTTCTATCTGCGAATCTCTATTGAAACGTAACGAAATTGAGCTAAAAGTGATGAAAAGTGGATAACCTACGACAACAATGTGCGAAAAAGATCGTGATCGAAGTAAGGAGAAGCTCTACATTCTGTGGCAAAGCCCACACTGACGTCCAGGAAGATTATGCTGTGTGTTTGGTGGGATTGAAAGGGCATCGTGCATCACAAGCCCTTCCAATCACATCGAGCTACTGTCATCAGGCAGAACAATAGACTCGGACCTGTACTGTCGACAATTAGCGCGATTGCACCTAGCAATTCAAAAGAAACGGCCGAAACTGGTCAACAGAAAGGATGTCGTATACCACGCTGACAACGCCAGACCGCATACATCTTTAACGACCCGTCAGAAATTGAGAAAACTTGGCTGGGAGGTTTTAATGGCTGAGTTCCGATATTCACTGCCAGTACTGAAAATATATAGTTTGTGTCACGTATACTATAGATTTTCAGTACTGACAGTAAATATCGGAACGCAGTCAGTGTATACACCGTATGGCCTGGACCTGGCACCGTCAGGCTATCATTTGTTTCGGTCTCTGTAGGACTCCTTGAATGATGTAAAGTTAGTTTCAAAAAAGGCCTGTGAAAACCACGTGTCATAATTTTTTTACCAGAAACCATAGAAGTTCTATAGCGACGGGATTATGGTGTTGCCGGAAAAATGGCAGAAGGTCATCGAACAAAATGGTGCATATATAGGTTTCATAATGTTATTTTTAAATAACAATAAATGTATTCTTAATTTTCCTCCAAAGGTTCAATACTTTTTAGACAACCTAATATATAAAATATACAAGGCATCCCATGGGAAATTGCTAAAACTAAATGATTAATTCTCCCCTTCATGACTTTAAAACGGGCCTTAAGGTTAATATCACCCGGCTGAGCGTCCGCAGTTTCATTCTGGTTGTAATAGAAGCAAGACTGTGCGCGTCAAAATGAATCATCTGACAATGAAAGAAAAGGTCTATCTTATCGAGTGCTTCTTTTCAAGAAGAAAATTATATAATAGAGCTTATAGGGGGTTTCGTACTAAATATAGAACACATAAAATACAAGCAAAAATACACTGAAAACTTTAAAATTCATTAATTACTTAAACTTAAGCGTTATGTCGCTCCATTTTTTTTTGGCAATAAATCTATATTAAAATAATTTTTTATGTAGTTTTTAACAAAATTATCAATAATTTTATGCAATATGGAACTATCAACGATAGTAAAAAGTATAGAATTCATGAATTATTCAAACTTAGGTATTACGTCACTCCACTTTTTGAAAATAAATCTGCATTAAAATAATTTTTGTGTAGTTTTTAACAGAATTATCAATAATTTTACGCAATATATCAAAAATCGTAGACACGATCTACGCCAGGTACTTCTGTCTCTAGCTGTAGAAGAAAATATTGAAGAAATTAAGAATTATTTTGAACAAGATCCAAATGCTTCCATTCGTAAAGCTGCCTAAGCCCTTCAAATATAAAAAATAACAGTGTATACAGAAATTTTTAATATTTATTGAACATGCATATAAAATATCTAATCAATTGTTAACTGAACACGCTATGATGAAATGTATGGAGGAAATCTTCGAAGCAATCCATAAAGTTTATAGCATCCGAGTCATCGATTTGAGATATCCCAAATTTATTCAGAAAGGACTAGAATGGCCACCGTATTCACTAGATTTAAATTCATATGGCTTTTCTTTTCGGGGATATTTATTTGGGGGTACATTAAAGATAATTGTTATGTCGGAAATCCAAAAATAGTGCCAGATTTAGTAGCAGCTGTTAAAATGGTCGTCAGTAATATTAAAGACATGTTAAAAACATTTTTACGAATTTTCGTAAAAGAATTGAGTTTCGTACAAATTCAGATGCTGCGTACTTAGAAAATATTTATCATTAGCTTATTTGATCGTTAACATATTTATCATCTTCTCTCATCAACAAAATAAACTAATATACTAACATTTTTTCAAATTTTATTTATACCCATTAAAAACTGTAGACTTTCCTCTTTTCAACGCAATTTTTGTTTTTACAATAACTGAGTATATTCGAAAATGGTAGCTGATTAGTTTAAGCAACTTCCCATGGGGCATCTTGTATTATTATACGAGGATAGTTTGATAAGTCAGTGACTTTTTTAATAAAAGATATTTTTTTCGGCAAATAAGAGTTTTATTTCTCAACGTAGTCTCCTTTTAACTCGATACACTTAGTCCACCGTTTTTCCAATTTTTTTATTCCTTCCAAATAATAGGTTTTCTCATGGCCTTCAAAATAGGCGTTTGTTTCAGTGATGACCTCTTCATTCGACCCAAATCTTTTACCGCTCAGCCATTTCTTCAGGTTTGGAAACAGGAAATAGTCGCAGGGGGCTAAATCTGGTGAATATGCTGCATGGAGTAGCAGTTTGTAGCCCAATTTATGGATTTTTGCCATGGTGACTACACACGTGTGCACCCGTGCATTGTCCTGATGGAACAGCACTTTTTTCTTCTCCAAATGTGGTCGTTTTTGCTTCAAATCAATATCGAATCTGTCCAAAAGCTCTGAATAATATTCGCCGGTGATCGTTTTACCCTTTTCAAGGGTGTAATCGATGTGAATGATACTGCGTGCATCCCAAAAAACTGTGGCCATGACCTTGTTGGCCGACAGACCCACCTTGGCCTTCTTTGGTGCACGTTCACCCGAAGAAACCCACTGTCTTGATTGTTCCTTGGTCTCTGGTGTGGTGTGATGGATCCATGTTTCGTCTACGGTAACGAAACGGCGCAAAAACTCGTTCGGATTGCGGCTGAACATCGCCAAACACTCCTTTGAAATGGTCACACGGTTGCGCTTATGGTCGAGTGTGAGCAATCGCGGCACCCATCGCGCGGATAGCTTTTTCATGTCCAAATATTCATGTAAAATGTGATGTACCCTCAGTTGAGATGCCTACAGCCTCAGCCACTTCACGCACTTTCATTCTCCGATCGTCCAATATCATTCCATGGATTTTATTAACGATTTCTGGCGTGACGACCTCTTTTGGGCGACCTGAACGTTCGGCGTCACTTGTGCTGGTACGACCACAACGGAACTCAGTAAACCACTTCTTAACTATTGAAATTGATGGTGCAGAGTCCCCATAGTATTTATTAAGCTTTGCCTTGGTTTCGGTGATGGTTTTTTTACGCAAAAAATAATGCTTAATCAGCACACGAAATTCACTTTTTTCCATTTTCGTTAAAATTCACGAGGTTGTCTGCTTTCAATGGCTGTCAAACACTAACTAAATGGCGCAGCTTGCCCAAACTTGTACAGTAGTCTATTAATAGATGGCAGTTGACGGGAGCAGTGCTGCATTTAAAGTTACTGCGCGGAAAATTCAAAAAGTCACTGACTTATCAAACTGCCCTCGTATTATATTCTTATGAAAATTAGAAATTAAGAAAGGGACTCGTTCAAAAGTTTCGATAAAACTTAATAAATATTAGGAGTACAAATAAGTTTCCGCCGTTTGACAAAAGATGGCCCCACCAGAAGGTTATGTTGAAATTGTCAAATGTAAAACGTAATATCGTAAGTTTGGACATCTGGTAACAACATAACCTTGAAGTATTAGTGATTCCGTATCAGCATCACATAATTTTTTTCGTGCGAAGATGTCAAGTTTTGTGCCGAATAAGCGTCATTTGCGAGAACTTTTGATTTACTTCTTTAATTTGAAGAAATCTGCAGCTGAGGCGCATCGATTGCTTGTAGAAGCATATGGTAAGACTGCTTTAAGTGAGAGAAGTTGTCGTGAGTGGTTTCAAAAGTTTAAAACTGGTGAGTTTGACGTGGAAGACAAAGAACGTAGTGGAAGGCCGAAAGTGTACGAAGACACGAAATTGGAAGCATTATTGGAGGAAGATCATGCCAAACGCAAGAAGAACTTGCACTTACATTAGAAGTGACTCAACAAGCAATTTCACATCGTTGGGTAATCTTTTTTAAAATCGTTAAAATCGTTGGGAATGATTCAAAAACAAGGAAATTTGGTTCCATATGAACTGAAGCCGAGAGACGTTGAACGCCGATTTTGCACGTGTGAAATGCTG